AGAGATTAAATCACAGTTAACATTTTAAAAGGTAAATTAAGGATTTAAATATTGATTTAATTGTCCAAATCAGCAAATGTTTATTCACAAAAAATGATAATCTAATTGTTGATGAAACTATGATATAATTAACGCCAAAAATTGATCACATCATCAACTACGTTTCCATGGTGTCCAAAGTATCGGACTGGAGCATAGGCACTTTCCAATGAGTAATATTGAGTCCAAAGATTATCCCAATCTTTCAATTTAAACAGGTAAGCCGTTAATCCAAAGGGTTTACCGGACATTGAGTAGCCACCTTTAGGTAATCCATAGAGCATCCTCTTTGAATAATGGATTACATTTGGTTCATCATTTAAATAAGCTGGATGATAGGAATAGTAACCAGCATAAAAGTCTTGACCATTAGAACACTGAATTAAACTATTAACAATCAAAAGGAAAAGAGTGACCACTAACCAGAATCGGGAATTAACATGGTTTCCATGATAAGAATTTTCTGATTGATGATTAATCCTAAACATTGAATTCACATCACAAGAAGTAAACAAAATCATCATCATAACAATCAAAGAAAGAAAAAAACTTGAACGAAAAATCAATTAATCAAATAAGAAAGAGAGGAAATTTATTCAACAATCAATATCAAGATGATGACCAGTTAATTAACATGATTGTTTCAATTATTTAAATGGTGAAATATTCAACAATTAGTTTTGATTGTTGACACAATAGAAATTCATGGAAAAGTTAAGTAAGTGAAAAGAAAGAGAAAAAATTTGTTTATGAAAAAAGTTTTTTTTCATCTTCTTTTCATCGAATAACTTTCGATACGATAGATTAGAACAAAATTTTCACGAATGATGATGATGACGATAAAAAAGAATAAAAAAAACCCGTTCAGTGGGTTGAACCTCATCTTCCATCATCATCATCATCATCATTTTATCTTTCTTTCCACCTCCTCCTCTCAATTTCTCATCATCATCATCTCGTGTTTTCCTTCCTGATTAAAAGATTAACCGTTAATCAGATTAATCTTAACTGAGAAGACATAATAATAATAATAATATTCTAAATTCAGGTCAAAGGTCGTCTAAAGAGGTTCACTTTCTGTTTCTTTTACAATCCTCATCATCATCTACTCACTAACAAGTTACTTCTCGTATATAAGTTACATTTGATTCTCGCTCATTCTAAAATAAGTTAACCTTTATTATCACTTGTTGTTATTATGGTCAAGCAACTAATTCGGTTCATTCATTATAATTATATCATGTTGTTGTTTATGATGAGATCATGTTGTGTCCAGTGCTTTGATTACTTTAAACATGGATGATGATGAAAACTTTTTTTTCTGCTCACTTTTTGATTACTATTTTTACCTTTAAAATTAACTTTTTTTTTTCATCTTTCTCTCAATGAATTAAATAGCTTCATCATTATGAAGATTATTATTATCATCATAATATCAGGTAACTTTAATTGTTTAACGTTTATTATCATTACTTTGTTATTATTAACTCTTAACTGACCATTATGGATAAAACTGACCATTAAGACTTTGTTTAATCTGGTTAATTATTAAACTTGATGAAATCTTTTTCACATTCAAGTCTTAATTGTTGGATGGACCTTTTTTTTCAACACCAACAACAACTAACCAACAATTAACTATTAATTGATATTATAACTATTATATATATATTGTATTAATATCATTTGCAAGAAGATGATCCAGACAATTAAATTTAATTGTTTGAATTTGAATTTTGGAGCTTTTTTTTATGTTTCTTTAAGTATAATTAACATGATCCCATTGCCAATTAAATTTGGGAATTGATTTGTTTTTGATTTGTATTAGTTTTAATTGATTTGGACAATTGAATTGTTTTTTTCTGCTTACTGATTGGAATCATTTGAATTGATTGTCAGTTCATTGATTAAGTCCTCGATTACAATGATCACAATTAAGAATATATAAATAAAACAATCAATCAAATCATTTTTATTCATACTAAATTGTCATCTTTGATGATCACAATTAACATTAATGAAGGGGGAAAAAAGTTCTCATATCATTTAACAATCTAATAGACTTTAAATAAATAGTTTCGATGTTGATGAAATTAATTAAGATTGATCGTCAATTGACTTACTGTTTTTACTAGATAGTTGACACTGATTGTTGATTAGTTGACAATCTGCTGATTGTTAACAATTAACTGTGAATCAAATTAAAAAGAGAAACTTTAAAGTTAACCTTAACCTGTCAACAGATTATAAGTTATATCAATGAGTTGACTAAATTGTTGCGATTTATAAATAAACATAGTTAGCTAATCATCATGATTGATATGATATTAACAACCTTAATTTATAATCATCACAATTAGCATCAATTGTTAATAATAATGAAAAAAATTAAAAATCAATTCACCAAAGGGACTTTCTCTATCTCTCTCTCTCTCTCTTGATCAAAACTGATTGTAATCAATATAATGATCCATATAATTAGTTACTATTAATGAGAATCATTTTATCAACAAACAACAATCAACAATAAAACTTGATCAGTTTGAACAATTGTAAAGTTTACAATTGTTAATCATCATCTTCTTCAAATCATTAACAGTAGTTAATTGTGACCTGAAAACGACTCTGAAACGGATCAAATTTAATCGAGATTATTATAATCGATGATGCTTTCTTTAACTCAGATTAAACAGTAGAAAAGAAATTGAGAATTCATTCAGAATTGATGATTAAATTAGATTGTTATTGTTACAATTACAAATCAATTGAACAGAATCAAAAGTAATTTTAGTTTGGCCTTTCATCTAAACTGGACAATGGATAACAATGGTCAACTTCACTGGACCGGAATCAGGTGAAAATAATCAAAATAATGATAATGTTAATCATGATTGTTTTCAAATTGTTTGGTTGGTTAGGAAAAAAAAAACAAATTCGATAAAAAAAAAGTTCTAATAACTTTTTCTCTTCATTTCTCATCTTCATCGACACTTTAATAGCCTTGGTGTGTTTACACTTGAACACAACAATCAAGGAATAGAATAATCATTTAACTATTACAATTGAGTTTTCTGATAATTTGATTGTTTGTTTATTGTTTCGATTTGTTTCTCATTCAATCATTGATTAACTTGATTGTTTTTTTTTCTCTCACTATCATGCTGACAATTATCATCGTAATCAAGTTCAAGGTTAATCCCTTTTCTAATCCATGTTGATTTATCTCTTGATAATATTCATTGACCTTTCGATTTTGTTAGAACTTTTTTTTCTCATATTGTTCTAATCAATTCTTATTATCCATATTCGAGTAATATTAACTGATTAACTAATTCTCATTGATTAAATCGCTTTTCAGTTTAATTGTTGTTGTTGTTGTTGTCATGATGAATGATTATCAATTGTTAAGGGTTATTATTAATGCTACTGATTATCAGGTAATCATTTTGTTTGATTGTTCAATTTTCCCTCTATGTTGATGATAATATTAATTGTAACATAAGTTGGTTTATTTTCACCAATCAATCATTATAAAGTAAATAGGTAATCAATCAATCAATCAACGAAGAGTAAAAATTAACTCATTCATTTAAAGTGATTAACCTTTAATTCAATTCAGTTTAAACAGAAAATTATACAACTATTCATTTTAAAATTGACCTTAAATTTTAAGATTAATTAACTGGTCAACTTAACAATGACCAAGGGTCAAGAGTGGATAGTGAAAGTGACCAATATTCAATTTTGTAACAGTATATTAAGAGTAACAATTAACAAATTGACATAAATGATCAAATAAGCGTTGAGATTTAATTTCTTGGACCTGAAAGTAAAAAATAATAAATAAAGGATCAGTAATATTAATCACGGAGCAATTAAGTTTAACCTGATTTCCTTAAAATTTGTCAAATTAACATGCAAGGGTCAATAAGTATTGTGAACAATTAACTAAACAATTAGCCAATTGTCAGGCTAATATAAATATCAAATTTTAATCATTAATTGATCACAGTTTTCAAATTGATTAACAAGTGACAAGTACAAACAACGATGGAAAAAGTTTACCAGGTAAGTTAAATTGTGATCGTAGTTAAAATTGTAAACCTAATTGTACATCTTAATTGTTGATAATTTACTAATAGATTCTCCTGTTCCTTGTGATTATTATGGTTTTAATCCAGTTATCAACTCAGTATATTTATCACTCGTTTTATCCTTATTATTTTCCGGACTTTGGTGGTTACGGATTCGGTTATGGAATCAGAGCTTTTAATGGACGACGAAGATAATTAATTAATTAATCTAATCATCATGATCATCCCCATATCAACATCATCAAAGTGTAACTGTTTTCATCACTATGATTAAGGTAATTAAACTTGTTCTTATATTAATCAATCAATTCTGTTAATCATCTCGATTGTAAAATGATATCAATTTGTAAGTAATATTTATTTTGATTGATGAATTAAACTTTTCCAAATCAACAATTATTTAATTGTGAAAAGTATTCATGTTTAAATTGTTACTTTTGTAACTATTATACAATTGTATTTATCAGGATTAATATTAAAGATAATTTAGTTAATCTAATTAGTTACAATTTTTCATTTTGTTTTTAGTTTCGTATTTATGATTAACTTTGATTGTTAAATTGTTTTCTATTAATGGTGAAAGTTGATTTTAAACAGAACGAGATTTTGAATCGACTGGATCGACCTGATTTTTTGTTTTGTTTCGGTGATTATCTTGATTGTTATCAAATGTTTGATTGTGTTGATAGAATCGGCTGATTAGTGTTGATTGTTTGCCAGTGCAAAGTTGTCAATTAAAATTGATTGAGGATATAATATACTATTAGAATCAAAAGAGTTTTCTAAATGATGATAATTTGTTAGAAAATCGGCCATTTAAATTGTATCTTTTTATACTGTTGGTGTTAATTGTTTGAGTGTTGATGATGATGATAGTTAAGCAATCGTGCTTTTTATTGTTAATAGTTCAACAATATACATTTCTTATTGGTAAATTGTTATTGTATCACTAATAAACTTTCAATGATTAAGAGAAAGTTTTATATAATATTTGGCTTTTATGTTAACAGTCAGGGTATTATTATTTAAGTTGATTCGGTTTGATGTTCACAATTAATTGTCAACAATCAATTGAATCTTGCATCTAATTTGAGTTTCCATTGTTATCCTTTGGTTGATCACAATTTCCATTTATTCCATATGATCCATATTTCCTATTAGATTTGAAAAATCCACTTGAAAGTTGTTGATAGTTTGATGAGTAGATTAAACTTGGTGCAAAGAGGAAAAAAGGATTCATCTAATTGTTGTTGTTTTCTCTGTTCAATTGAATTTATTTAATGATCCATATCGTCCGAAACCCTCCGGCCTCGGTGGTGTTCCTGAGGGTGGTAATGTTTGAACTCTCCAGATAATTGATGATCCTCTCTTGATATTACCCATAGAACTAAGGTGAGACCAACATTCAGTCCAACTGAGAAATTCTGGTTCAAGGTTGGCTGCTTCAAGAGATTTACAGCCGTTGATGGACATAACAGTCGAAACCAAATTAAATGGATACAAAATGGCTGGAACCATGAAATTGACTATTGTAGTGAGAACTGAACTGTACTCGGGTACATTTAGATACGGTTTAATGAGGAGGATGATGATACTTTTGGTTATCACAAGGCAAGAAAGATCACCGATCAGTTTGGGAACAAAACCTGCATAAAGACCTGCGATTCCTTCATTTTTGATTATATCTTTTAACGCAGATAATGGATAATCGTAAACTACTTCCTTTCCAACGAATGAAGCAAAATTACGAACCAATAAAACATGAAATGGATAAGAAGCTATTAATCCACCGGTGATACAAAGTCCATCTCGAACAACAACTCAGTCAATTCATCGACATTACTTTTAAAATCTATTGGAACATTTGATCGACGTCCATCTTTTTGAAGTTTAATTGTTAAATTGGGAGCTGGTTGATATTCGGTTGTGGTAACGTCTCCACTTTCCTCTGTTAGATCAGGTGTGGTTATCTAGAGGAAAAGGAAGAATAAGATAAGATATATACAATTAATCTTTGCGGTTTTATATCAACAGAGATAGAGAGGAAAATATTACCTGTAAGTAAGGGCAAACTCTACCAATATTGTTTTCTATATAATTGTAAGTGTATCGATAACTAAAATAATCAACAACACTATAAGGTAAACCTCTGAATAAACCAGTTACTCCTTCATGTCTAAAAACATAACCAAGATAGGAAAGTGCACCAGGTAGACCGATTTTGGGTTGACCAAAGATACTTCGGGTGGGAAAAGAGGGTAAAGGTTCATATCCAACTTGAATAAGAGTCTTGGCCAAATCAAATGGATGCTTGACCACACAAATTACAAGTTTAGCCACATCAGATTGTGATTCAAATGACAGTTCATGTTCATTTTGATTCTCAGCCATTTTTGTTTTTATTTATTCGTCCAATAAAATACCAACAGTAAAACAATAAGTTACCAATTTACCTGTAACAGTATAGATAAAGAGAGAGAGAGAAAGACAACAAAATATAAGGTCAAGTTTAGAATCTAGAAGTTGTTAATGAAGACAAGAATTTAATTTAATTTGATTTGATTTAATTCCATTAAAAAAAAGCAGGAAAAAAATAGAAAGTAAAAATTTTCATTTTGTAAAAGTAAACAAATCAACAAACATGAAAATGAAAACTTGGAAGGTTAATTAGGAAACTGAAAGTCAACTTACCGGAAAGAAAAAGTAAATAGTGTAAAACAACTATAAAAAGAGAAATTAACAGTAATTAACTAAACCAAAATCACAATTAATTAAACACAAGAAGCAACAAAAACCTAAACAAACAAGAAAATGTTTCAATTCATTTGAATGGAAAAGCAAAAACCTTTGTCGATATATCGATAATTTTTTCCATAATATTTTCGATATGAAGCTTTAAATCGTGTTGATTAGAGTTAATTAACTACTTGATTAGTTAATTTGATCCAATTTTTAAGAGAAAATTAATTGATTTGATTTGGTGAATTTGTTTGTGAAAAGAAAACAGTTTTTTAATTAGAAGAACAATTAATCGAAGGTTTGATTTTCTTCCGTCAGATGGAGTAACCGAAATTCTACTAGAATTTTCCAATTTTCTCACCGCATGTTCCTCACGTTGAATTAATTGCTCTTTAATCTTTGAGTTTAATTTGATTCTTTCAAGTTTTGTTTGTCTTTGTGTTCTATTTTTCTTTGTTTTGTCTTAATCAATTTGTCTAATTAACTAATCATCAAGATGTATAGTTTGTTGTTGCGTCGATCTCCCCGTGCTTTTGGAAGGTTAGTTTATCGTAATTACTCAAAGGAGATTAAATTTGGTTCCGATGCAAAGGTTCAAATGTTGGCTGGTGTTGATATACTTGCCGATGCCGTTGCTGTTACTATGGGACCTGCTGGACGAAATGTTGTAATTGAACAATCATGGGGATCACCAAAGATCACCAAGGATGGTGTGACTGTGGCCAAAGCTATTGAATTGAAGGACAGGTACCAGAATATTGGTTCCAAGCTTGTCCAGGATGTTGCTCATGCTACAAATGAAGCTGCCGGTGATGGTACTACAACAGCCACTGTCCTTGCCCGAGCTATTGCCAAAGAGGGTTTTGATAAGATATCGAAAGGAGCCAATCCCAATGAGATTAGAAAAGGTGTCATCATGGCTGTGGAAAAGGTTGTCGACAATTTGAAATCAAAGTCCAAAACTGTAACAACACCCGAGGAAATTGCTCAAGTTGCCACAATCTCAGCCAATGGAGATTCAACTATTGGTCAATTGATCTCGGAAGCCATGAAGAAGGTCGGTAAAGATGGAGTGATCACCGTTAAAGATGGTAAAACCTTGACTGATGAATTGGAGGTGATTGAAGGATTGAAGTTCGACCGAGGTTACATTTCTCCTTATTTCATAACCTCGCCCAAAGGAGCTAAAGTAGAATTTGAAAATTGTCTTGTGTTGATAAGCGAGAAGAAAATCTCTTCTGTCCAACCCTTGATTCCTGCTCTAGAAATGGCCAATGCTCAACGAAAACCTCTTTTAATTATTGCCGAAGATGTTGAAGGTGAAGCTTTGACCACTTTAGTATTGAATAGATTGAAGATCGGTCTTCAAGTTTGCGCTGTAAAAGCTCCTGGTTTCGGCGATAACAGGAAAAATACTCTTGCAGACATCGCCATTTCAACTGGAGCAACAGTTTTCGGTGATGATGCTAATCTGACCAAAATGGAGGACATTCAGTTATCTGATTTGGGTACAATTGGTGAAGTTACAATTACCAAAGATGATTCTCTTTTATTGAAGGTAAGTTTCAATACTCTTGTTCTTATTCTTATTCTTATTTTTATCTGATTTAATTTATCTAATCTCATCTAATCTGATCTCCTTCATCTTCTCATTACAGGGAAAAGGTAACAAATCTGAAATCGATGCAAGAATCGAGCAAATTAGATTCGAAATAGAAAATACAAGCTCCGAATATGAGAAGGAAAAATTATCCGAGAGATTGGCGAGATTGGCAAGTGGTGTTGGTGTTCTCAAGATCGGTGGTGCAAGTGAAGTCGAAGTCGGTGAAAAGAAAGACCGAGTAAACGATGCTCTAAATGCCACTCGAGCTGCAGTTGAAGAAGGTATTGTTCCTGGTGGTGGAACAGCTCTTCTTAAATCGATTAAAGTTCTAGACGATCTGAAGCCAATCAACGACGATCAAAAGACAGGTATTGAAATCGTTCGAAAAGCGTTGAAAATGCCATGTATGCAGATTGCTATGAACGCAGGAGTCGATGCTTCAGTTGTGGTACAAAAAGTGTTGGACTCAAGTGACCCTAACTTTGGATACGATGCTCATCTTGGTGAATTCACTGACATGATTTCCGCTGGTATTATTGATCCAACTAAAGTTGTTCGAACTGCTCTTTCCGATGCTTCCGCTGTCGCCTCCCTATTGACAACAGTAGAAACTGTTATCGTTGAAAGTCCCAAAGAAGACAAAGCCGACGCCATGGGAGGAATGGGAGGCATGGGCGGTATGGGTGGAATGGGTGGAATGGGAGGAATGGGTGGTTTCTAAACGAAAATCCCCTTCTCTTTCTCTCTCTCTCTAAGGCCAATTTAGAAAAACAAGTCATTTCTTTTTTCAATTGTATTTCTCTCGAAGCATTTTCGTTGATCTTGTAGTTATCCCGGTCTCTAGTTGCTTTTGTAATCAAAACCTTAGATGTAATTTTTCCAATCCTCATTTAATTAGATATAATATTTGTAAATTAAATTTTTTTTACATATTTTCAACAATTAAGAATATCGATTGATCATTTTCCAATCTCACCAAATCCAACAACAATCGAAACTTTCAAATCCAAGTAAAACATCACATTGATTACCATTCTAAAAGCGAAAAACAATCAAATCGAAAGAACTTTAGTTCTAAATGCTACAAAAGGTCATTTTGCCGAACATCGGAAGAAAATTATTAAGTTTCGTATGTGAAACTGAAACGAAGAAAAAAAAAGAAAATGGAAAAATATTATTCTATCCCCTAGATGGAGATATTGTTTCATTCAAGTAAAATTAGAAAATTGGATAAATCGAATCACCTTAATTGTGATTAGAATCTGATAACCCAAAGAAATTGGTGATTAATTGTGATAAGCAATTAAGTGATCATGATACATTTGGAAATGAAAACATTAACAATGTTTTTCTTTGTACAGAAAAATGTTTAATTACTTTTAATCTTATAAAAAAACTAATAACTTTGTAACTCGAATTACAATTAGCAACAAAAAAAAAGGATAATAAAGTAAATTGATTGTTAAGAATGGAATTACAATTAACTATCAATCATTAACACACATGATGAACTAAATGTAATCAATTGAAAACCAATAAAATAAACATTGAAACAAAATGAAAGATTATCTTAGCTAATATAATTGAAAGAAGAAAAAAAAAATTAATACCTAACAATTAATCGATACAATCAATGATTACGAAGAAAAGTAATCAAATTACCAATGTCTGATTGTGATTAAAGTTACAATGTATTAATAATTAAAATTTTTGAGAAACAAAAAGTGAGTTATAAATACGAAAGATTAATAATAATAATCAGATCGATTTGGATGAATGGTAAAAGTAACGGAAAAGAAAACGAATCAAAATAAAATCAGAAAACAATCAAAACTAATTGCTAGAGTAACAACGGTTTCTTTTACCTTTAACAAATGACAATTAGCCTCGAATGTTTGTCAAGATGAAAACTTATACGGTTACTTTTACCTGGAAATAGCCCGAGGGCATTTGGGTCATTCCGTTACACACACACCGGGCTTTTTATTTTTCAAACTTGCAGCAAATTAAAAGTCAACCAAAGGTAATAATAATAAGGGAACAAGAATCACCACCGCCACCAAAACCACCACCTCGACCTCCTCCCTCCCTTTGACCCTCGTGGTCAAGCTACAGTGACTTTCAACTGTTTCTTATTGTTTCCTCCAATCACAGATTTTTCATCTTCTCAGTGTCTTCTATGTGTTCTGATTTCATTTCCTCTCTCTCTCTCTCTCTCTCTTTAACTTATCTTCTCTTTCTTATCATCTCTCATCTCTCATCATCATCATCTTTGTCTTCTCACCAATTACTATCACCACTCTTTTCTCAGGTAACAACCTCATGCATCAATGATCTCAGTTCCGTTTTACAACATCCCTCCTTCTCCTCCTCCTCCTCCGCCTTCATCTTCATCTTCATCCTCATCTCTCTCTCCATCATCATCATCATCATCTTAATCTTTCATCTCAATAGTTTTTCCCAATGACTTTCTTGTCTTTTATTACTTTCATTGCAACAATTAAAATAAAAAATGAAAGAAATACAAATCACACACCCAACAAACATTTCCCTCTGTAACCTTAATAAACTAACATAGGATTTTTACCTTGATCACCTTGATCAAGAATCAAACAATTAATTGTTTTTAATTAGCAAACAAACAAACAAAAAAGCCAAGCCAACAATTATTTCCAGTTATTAAATTTTCATTGTTTATTGATTGTTGTTGTTTTAATTTCCAGTAGTTATCACATATAAGCAATTTACTATTTGATTTGATTGATCCCAAATTGATTTAGTTTTGAGCAAAAAAAGTAAAAGTAAACAACCAATGTCATGATTAATGATAATATTACAATTTACTAAATCACAATTAAGTGTAGACACAATCACAATGTAAAAGAGCAAAAAAAAAGACAAACATTTAATCATCATAATCATACAATCATGTTAACAAATGTTGATGATTTTTACCTTAAATAATTTAAGGTCACCTTAATTTTGATTGTTAACAGTAACAATTACAAACAATCATAATGATTGTACTTAATTTCATATATACACTGATAGTATTTGATTGTCCAAGTAAAGAAAACAACAACAAAAAATCAACAATTATCATAACGATTAAATGTTAATCATTACGATTTAAATTATCATTTTGGGTTTACAAGAGATATTAATTTTCCCATTAGAAAACAATATTGAATGATGAGATTACCTTGAATAGTTCATATCAATTTTGAATAGTTTCATAGTTTCTCAAACTTTCATCATCATGTTAATAATGATGATGATGATGATCATTATAATTAACATCATCATCATCATCATGTCATCAAATTATACTTTTAATCGGATCTTTCAATGTAAGAGATAGAGAGAGATGTCAACATAGAGAAGAAGAAAAAATTTCTCTTTCATTTCATTCCAAGGATTTAACTTGATTAACCAATAACGAAGTTGATGATTAGCTTAATCTTACAGTTTAATATCATCATCAGCATTCTGGTATAATCAAAATTCATGATAATTTGATGATTAGTTAACAAGGTAGATTGCTGTCAACAATTAAGTAGGAAAT